CCTTCTCGGATCAAAGGGAGCACAACGTCCAAAAACTTTGCATAGTAGGAAAGTAATCGGTGGCGAAAATCCTTTCATTTGAATCCGCTTTAAAACAATGTTCATCAATTGTGTACACCTTCAGTCTGGTAAGATTGTACTGTGAGATCATTCGCACGCTGTAATTCGACCATGCAATCTCAATTTAGAAGCACCACATCTAGCATTTTTCCTCACGTTTTCGAAGTAAATGTCGATGCCCTCAGGAAAGCACCTTCAGTCGGCTAAGATTGTACAAGGGATTGTCACAAGCATTAGTTAAGCCAAATTTTTGCAAAGTATTGAATGTTTAACTGCAACAAACCAGGTAACTCTGGGAAGGAACGAAGCCACTAAGGGCTGAGTGGGGGCTCATGCCCCCACTGACTTGGAGAATTCAGTGAATCCACTTCTATTTTGTATTTGAAACCCATAACAAACTTATTTTGTATTTTTTTCTTCAACCTCCAATATATTTAACCTTTGATTTCTTTTCTCTCTGCTATTGAATATAGAGTACATAAGTAAAAAATCTCAAAGTTATTTTTTTCTCTTTTTGACTAAATTCTTCGTCTATTCAAAATAAAAATATTAATTGATGCCTCTAATTTTTAATTTTTGCAGTCAATTTTTCATATTTTTAAACTAATTTTAATATTACAATTTTTTCTTTTAAGAATACCCCACTGAAACAAAAATCCGGACTCCATGGTGACTTTGGAAAGTATGTTAAGGAAGAGGAATTTCTGGAACGATTGGCTAACCTTTCTTTGTTCCAGCAATTCCAACAACGTAGCAGCCCATCAACTTTGCAAATTGCCCAACCAGTTGACAACAGCGCCTGATGCTGCTGAAATGTTACATTTTCCTTTTTAGGAGCAGCTATATTCATAGAAACCAGCCCAAGCGTAATACCAGGCATGCCTATACACAAAACAAACATTTTAAACAAAAAGTCATTCTTTATTACGGCGCCATGAGTAATTCATTTGTTCATTGCTTAGTAAAAGACAAAATTCGTACTAGTTTAAAGAATTTAACTAAGTTCTTGTCTTTTAAATGTGAATAAACTTTGTGCGACATTAAAAAGTTAAATTCAAGACGTACACAGCTAAGAATATTCATAAATGCAAATACCAAATTATATAAATGGAAGGCATGCAAATACATAAAAGTAAGATTAATTCAATTACACTTTCTTATTTTTAATATTATGAGTAAAATAACTATGTATGAAATATTTATGCTTTTTATTGTTTAATAATATGGAAAATTAAGAAAAATATTTTTTTGTCTAACTTTTTTCTTTTAACAGTCTTTCAACAATTTGGAATCCATCATTTTTAGAGTGTGAGTACCTAATCAAAACACCAGATTTCACATTTGTCCCAAATCTCAAAAAGATGATTTTGAAAGTTGCACAATGTTGCGTGAGATTCACCCATCTTTGTTGGTTCACAAATATATTGTACAAGTATTACAACTCTGCCAACCAGATTCATATGGCTCTCACGTGAATTTGATCTATCTTGTTGCTGCAAATTGAAGAAGTTTCCAGAGATTGTAAGAAGTATGGATTGTCTATGGTGACCTTTCTTTACACAAAACTGCTATTAAAGTATTGCCAATATCAATTGAACTTTTGAGTGGACTTAAAAGATTTTAGTTTGGCAAACTACAACTCTAGTTTTTGGAATTCATATGAGTTGGATGAAGATTTTCTTGGATCAATGGCGGATGTTGACTGTGATGGGGCAGAAGACGCAGATGAGATATATTTTTCAGCTGATGATGAACTACCGAAACCTAAAAGATTGAAGAGCTCATAAGTTGACGTGTGGTAATAATTTTTTTTTTATGGGCTTTCTGTTTTTTGCATTGGGCTTTGCTATAACATAAGCTGTAACGTATACTGGATTATTTGCTATGGAGAGGCGTGGGACTCCTTATTCCAAGTGGGGACAATTTTTGTTTCTTTCTCTTTATATACTATTAAACAAATTAATAATTAATAATTAAAATTTATGGATATTATTTTATATTTTCTTAAATAATTTCTGGATTTAAAAATAATATTATTAAATATTTTCAATTTTAAAGTTAAACTAGTTTTTATTTTTTTTTAATAAAAATGGATGTTAGTGTATTAGTATACAGATTAGTATGAAAAAAAATCATTATATTACAGCTTTAAACTAAATCTCTCTTCATCGATCTATTATTTTAAAAAGTTATTGTAATTTAAAAACATTTTGTAATAGAAAATTAGAAACTTATCCAATGATGGGTTTGGCCTATCAACAAAGCCGATTACAAGCCTACAAAGTTTTGATTTATTTGCTTATTTTAAAAAGAAAAAAGATAAAGATAAAAATTAGAGTGAAACACCTTACTAATAAATACGACCAAAACATATAAGATATATGCACACATTTATCACAGTCTAGACCAAATTTAGTAGATATTAGGTGTGACATTTCATAACACTTCGATAGAAGAGTAAAATATTAGTTAAATACTATTATGTCTTTAAACTTTCAAAAACGTGTTTAGGATTAAATCCCAAAAGTAAAATCTGAAGGACAATCTAAAGCGGATAATATCTTAGCAACTCTCATGAATTTCCAAATACTACAGATGGGTGAGTAAGAAACAAATTAAAACATACAAGCTACAAACTATAGCTTACCTAATAAATAGATTCTAACAACCACAATATTAATAACAAAAAACTAATGTTCTGAAAGTCAGATTAGACCGGTCGATCAGACCAAGAACTAGTAGCTTCTCTGGTCAGATTTAGGTTTAAGTGGATTCTTGTTATATTTTAAAACTGCAGGGACTAATGTAACTAGGGCTGTTTTTACAAGATTTCAAAACTTTAGGGACTAATTGAATTTTTTTGGGCATTTTAAAAAATATATTAAATTTTTAGAGGTATTTTCTCTTTTTATACTATTAAACAAATTAATGATTAATAATTAAAATTTATGGATATTATTTTATATTTTCTTAAATAATTTCTGGATTCAAAAATAATATTATTAAATATTTTCAATTGATTTTTGTATATTTAATTTAATTTTATATTTAAAATTATAATATTATATTGAATGATAATAAATATTTTTGCACATAGTATGAAACTAATTATTTATTAAATTAGGATACTGTGACTTAAATTTTTTACTTAATTTTTTGATACGCCTTATAAACTGTCTATCATTATTAATTTATTTTGTCATCCTTAGATTAAAAATGATGAATGATTCACAAAGAGTGTCAAAAAATTAAATTAAAATTTTAAGTCACGGTGTTCTAACCTTTACTGTTTATTTAAGGTATAAAATCATAATTATAATTAATTTTTTTAATGAATATATCTCCCATTAAAGTTTCTTAAAATTAATTGCTATATAAATATCATAATTATTAATATAAATAATGCAAATATTAAAAAAAATAAGATGAAGAAAATGCTACAGAGTATTATATAATTTAAAAATGAATGTTAAACTAGATTTAAAAGTTTTCTAATGTAAATATTCTTATAAAATAAATAAAAATGAATGTTAGTGTATCATTTTTATTTGGTTGTCTTATTTCATCTCAATTTTGATATTAAAAAACCTAAGACTAGAATTCAAGTAGTCCAATAACTCCAATGAACTATTGGGCTTGCGATATTTTTTTCATGGCCATAAACCTTCGGCCCAAAGAAAGAAAATAAAGGACATAATGGACAATTCATCTTCTTCTTAAACCCTAAACAAACAACCAAAAAAAAAAAAAAAAAAAAACAAAAAACACGACCGCATAACCACCACCCTCATCTTAGAAGTCATTTACCACATAATGAATCAAATTCTTTTATATATGAGAAGTTGGATAGAAAAATTAGAAAAGAGTTTCCAATAAATTTATAAACTGATAAAGAGATGTAGAATTAAATGAAAATTTTTATTTATAAAAATTAACTAACAATTATATTTCGTATAACATTTAAAAAAAAAAAAAAAAAAGCCTATTTTAGAATTTTTCACCTAAAGCCCCAAATTTCTTGGAACTGACATTGGTGGAAAATCATTATTTTACAGCTTTAAACCAAATCTCTCTTCATTGGTCTGTTGATTTTAAAACTTACTCCAATTTCAAAACAATTTGTAATAGAAAATTAGAAACTTACCCAATAAACTACTAGGTTTGGCCTATCGACAAAGTTGATTACAAGCCCATGTTTAAGGTCCAACAAAAGGGCAACACTACCAGACCAACCCATTTTTCCTATATTCCATTTGCAAGAGTGATACTTCAAGTTTTGATTTATTTGTTTATGTTAAAAAGAAAAAAGAAAAGATATAAATTAGGATGAAACACCTCATAAATACGACCAAAACATATGAGATTATATGCACACATTCATAGCAGTCTAGACCAAATTAAGTAGATATCAGGTGTGATATTTCATAATACTTGGATATAGAAGAGTAAAATGTTAGTTAAATACTATTATGAGTCTTTAAACTGTCAAAACGTGTTTAACGTTGAATCCCTAAAACAAAATCCTGAGGACATAAATCTAAAGCGGATAAATCTTCGCAACTTTCATGAATTTCCAAATACTACAAGTGGGTGAGTAAGAAACAAATTAAAACTTACAAACTATAGACTATAGATTATACTACCAATGTCTAAGTAAGAAAGAAACTACAAATTATAGCTTAACTAATAAATAGATTCTAATAACCACAATAATAACAAATAGCAATACTAATAACAAAAAACTATATCTTGGCTAAATAGATTCTAACAACTGTAGTACATGATTACAATAATAATAAATGGTATGTGATCTTCTAATACGAAATCATATTTAAATTAGGATACAAATCCCAACCATGGATATTTTTTGATCCCATAAATGTGAGAAGAATTTAGTGAAGAATCTGGAGATAGATCTATTACAATTAAAGAGTGGAAAAACGATAATACAATTGAAAGAAGGCTTGAAAAACATTACTCCTTGGAAACAGCAACCACTTGTTTCCCAACATTGCGTCCAGTAAAAAGACCAACAAGAGCAGCAGGAGCATTTTCAAGACCTTCAGCAATGTCTTCAATATAAACAATCTTCCCTTCTCGGATCAAAGGGAGCACAACGTCCAAAAACTTTGCATAGTTAGGAAAGTAATCGGTGGCGAAAAATCCTTTCATTTGAATCCGCTTAAAAACAATGTTCATCATATTGTGTACACCTTCAGTCTGGCTAAGATTGTACTGTGAGATCATTCCGCACGCTGTAATTCGACCATGCAATCTCATATTTAGAAGCACCACATCTAGCATTTTTCCTCCTACGTTTTCGAAGTAAATGTCGATGCCCTCAGGAAAGCACCTTCAGTCTGGCTAAGATTGTACAAGTGATTGTCACAAGCATTAGTTAAGCCAAATTTTTGCAAAGTAATTGAATGTTTAACTGCAACAAACCAGGTAACTCTGGGAAGGAACGAAGCCACTAAGGGCTGAGTGGGGGCTCATGCCCCCACTGACCTTGGAGAATTCAGTGAATCCACTTCTATTTTGTATTTGTAAACCCATAACAAACTTCTATTTTGTATTTTTTTTCTTCAACCTCCAATATATTTTAACCTTTGATTTCTTTTCTCTCTTGCTATTGAATATAGAGTACATAAGTAAAAAAATCTCAAAGTTATTTTTTTTTCTCTTTTTGACTAAATTCTTCGTCTATTCAAAATAAAAATATTAATTGATGCCTCTAATTTTTAATTTTTGTAGTCAATTTTTCATATTTTTAAACTATATTTTTTAATATTACAATTTTTTCTTTTAAGACTACCCCACTGAAACAAAAATCCGGACTCCATGGCTGACTTTGGAAAAGTATGTTAAAGGAAGAGGAATTTCCTGGAACGATTGGCTAACCTTTTCTTTGCTTCCAGCACTTCCAACAACGTAGCAGCCCATCAACTTTGCAAATTGCCCAACCAGTTGACCAACAGCGCCTGATGCTGCTGAAATGTATACATTTTCTCCTTTCTTAGGAGCAGCTAATTCATAGAAACCAGCCCAAGCAGTAATACCAGGCATGCCTATACACAAAACAAAACATTTTAAACAAAAAGTCATTCTTTATTACGGCGCCATGAGTAAATTCATTTGTTCTCATTGCTTAGTAAAAGACAAAATTCTGTACTAGTTTAAAGAATTTAACTAAGTTCTTGTCTTTTAAATGTGAATAAACTATGTGCTAAAAATATTCATAAATGCAAATACCAAATTATATAAATGGAAGGCATGCAAATACATAAAAGTAAGATTAATTCAATTACACTTTCTTATTTTAATATTTATGAGTAAAATAACTATGTATGAAATATTTTATGCTTTTTATTGTTTAATAAATATGGAAAATTAAGAAAAATATTTTTTTGTCTAACTTTTTTCCTTTTAACAGTCTTTCAACAATTTGGAATCCATCAATTTTATAGAGTGTGAGTACCTAATCAAAACACCAGATTTCACATTTGTCCCAAATCTCAAAAAGATGATTCTTGAAAGTTGCACAATGTTGCGTGAGATTCACCCATCTTTGTTGGTTCACAAATATATTGTACAAGTATTACAACTCTGCCAACCAGATTCATATGGAATCTCTACGTGAATTTGATCTATCTTGTTGCTGCAAATTGAAGAAGTTTCCAGAGATTGTAAGAAGTATGGATTGTCTATGTGACCTTTCTTTACACAAAACTGCTATTAAAGTATTGCCAATATCAATTGAACTTTTGAGTGGACTTAAAAGATTTTAGTTTGGCAAACTACAACAAACTTACTGTCTTCACTCTTCCTCAAGACTTTCAGATTGCCCACTTTGTCAGGTTTTTGCAGATCTTTAAAACAATTGAAACTAGGTGGCTGCGATATGGAGGAAGAAGCGATTCCTAATGACTTTTTCGATAGCTTTTCTTCATAACGGTGTTTAGAACTAAGCAAAAACAATTTTGTTTCAGTACTTGGAAGCATCAAACATCTTTCTAAGCTTACATGGCTTGACTTGGACAGTTGTAAGAGACTTCGATCTCTACTGGAACTTCCATCCAACATAGAATATATTAACGTAAATGGTTGTGTTGCACTGGAAACAACATCAAATGCATTAAGGTTATGCAATTCCAAGTTGTTTAGATTTTTCTGTGTTAATTGGTTGAAATTGATCTGCTGCAACAATCTAGCATCTTCAATGCCCAGAGAATTCCTTAAGGTCAATGTCTTTCTCTTTCTCTCTCTTCATCTTTTGAGTTAAACATTATTGTATTACTTTTCTTTCTTTTTCTTAGTGCATGCAATGTCAAAGCCAATAGACAGACCTCAGGCGGATAGTCAACGAATTGATGAATTTGGGATGGTTATTCCTGGAAGTGAAATTCTAGAGAACATCAGAGTGAGACTTCTTCAATTAAAATAGAAAGGCCTCAAGATTCTTATGATAACAAGATGGTGGGATACGCTGTCTGTTGTGTTTTTCATGTCCATGAGCATCAGCCTACCATTATTTAAAGGTTAGATGGGCGGACATCAAATTATTTGCAGAGGGGTCTATATCAATTTTCAGATTTATTTTGAAGAGAATTGGGGCAAGGCTATGTCAGAACATCTTTGGCTGTTTATATGTTTTGGCTAAAAGACTCAATCAAGATTTTGTTGAGCTTCCATTTAAGCCATGTGGTCTAAGATTGAAGGTGAAGAAGTGTGGGATACATCCAGTATATCAGAAAGAAATTGAAGAGTTGAAGCCAAGGGCCAAAAAATCCAATAGCTCTAGTTTTTAGAATTCATATGAGTTGGATGGAGATTTTCTTGGATCAATGATGGATGTTGACTGTGATGGGACAAAATACGAAGATCTGATCTATTTTTCAGGTGATGATGAACCCAGTGCAACCTAAAAGATTGAAGTGTTCATAAGTTGATGTGTGGTAATAACTTTTTATGAGGGGCTGTTGTGAGCTTTTTGTTTTTTGCATTTGGCTTTGCTATAACATAAGCTTTATGATTGTGTCAATTTTACTTGTGTTTGGTCTGTTCACAATATGAGAGCCCTGGGACTCCTTATCCCATTTGTTCTTTCTCTTTTTATGCTATTAAACAAATTAATAATTAACAATTAAAATTTATAGATATTATTTTATATTTTCTTAAATAACTTCTAGATTTAAAAAAAAAATATTATTAGATATTTTCAATTTATTTTTGTATGTTTAATTTAATTTTATATTTAAAATTATAATATTATATCGAATGATAAAAAAAATTGGTTCATAATACGAAAATAATTATTTATTGGGTCAAGATATTATGACTTCAATTTTTTAGTTAATTTTTTGACACGCCTTATAAACCGTTTGTCATTATTGATCTATCTTGTTAATGCTAGATTAAAAGAGATGAACGACTCATAAAGGGTGTCAAAAAATTAAATTAAAATTTTAAGTCACAGTATCCTAACCTTTACTGTTTACTTAAAGTATAAAATCCTAATTTTAATTAATATATCTCTCATTCAATTTTCTTATAATTAATTACTATATAAATATCATAATTATTGATATAAATAATGCAAATATTAAAAAAAAAAAATTAAGATGAAGAAAAGGCTACAGAGTATTTTATAATTTAAAAATGAATGTTAAACTAGTTTTAAAAGTTTTTAAATATAAATATTTTTATTAATAAGTAAAATAGAATGTTAATGTATTATTTTTATTTGGTAATCTTATTTCATCTCAATTTTGATATTCAAAAACCCTAAACAGACACGAACACAAAACCACCGTCCTCATCTTAGAAGTCATTTACCACTCAAAATACAAAATCGGTTGGCGCGGTGGTTAGCTAGTGGGAGAACTAGTGCATAAGAACCTTTTTATAACTCCGACACTTGCTACAACTGTTTGAAGGAATACAATTAGTAGTTGGAACTTCACGAATTAAACCTCCACCATAATCTTAGCCTCTTGTCTAAACGATGCGGTGGTTCTATCCCTGATGAAATCATATATTGCTAAAATAAAACCATATGCCGACAATAAATGATATTTTAGTTCTGTAAGCATTATATAAATGATGAAAATGTATAATATAATAATTTAATTTTTATAAATGTTTTGGAAGGAGATATCTTCATATTTATTATAGCATTTATTACTTAGGAATCTTATTAATAAATTAATGCTTATTTGCTTATAGTTAACCATTTTTGTATAGATATTTTACCATACATTAAATGAAATGATTAATGTGGTATTGTACCAAATGGCTATATCATAAATGACTCCACAAACCTCTTTTATTTGTTAAAAATAATAATAATAATATAATTATTATTGAAATTTACTTATTTACCCTTCTTTAAAGGTTAAATTAAAAATAACCAACTTTTAAATGGATTTGTAGCAAGACCTCTCATGTAATTTTATTTGATATTTTATGTAATAAATGTGATGTAAAATATCAATATAACCTATATAAAAATCTAAAGACCCACTCAAGGGAGATCAATTGAAATTATGTTAAAGTTATTCAACTTCGCTTGAGTTTACTCATCTTATTCCGACAATTTTAACATTTTAAATCAATTTATGTACTTTTCTTATCGGTGTTGAGTTATTAACAATGTATGAACATATCTTATTCTTTTTCGTATCTATTTGAGAATTGGGATGACTGTTTTAGATACATATTTCGAAGCTGATGAATATTTATCAAGTCAATAACTCTGTACATCACCTATTTGACATGAGAAAATAATAATTTTTTGCCTTCAAAAAGGAAGGAAAAAAAAAAAGAGAAGAAACCTTTAAATTATTTTTGGAATAATAAGTTTATATACATTTTAGTTAATAATTTAATTTACCTAAAGGATCTTGATTTGACGTCATAAGTAGGTCCATCATATTTAGAAACTGGAATAAATAAATGGCCTGGTAAGCTAGGCATTTGGGATCGGGCCCAAAAGCCCAGCTCCAAAACCTTCCTAGGACCGTCCTTGGGAGGACCGGTCCTAGGAGGCCTGGTCCCAAAACGGGACCAGGCCTAAGGGGAGGGCCCGGGCCCTCCTCCAAGGCCCGGGCCTGGGCCCAAACTTTTTTACATTTTATTAATTTAGTCCTTTGTAAAATTACATTAAACCCCAAAAATAATATAAATTTAAGGACTAAAATAAATTTTACAAAATTTATTAAAACAAAAAAAAAAATTAACCGTTGGCTGCCAAAGGTAACTGACACCAACGGTTACATTTTAATATAAGTTTTTTTTTTTTATTTTCCCCCCTACAACTACTATAAATAACTCTAAAACCTTTAATTTTTTTCACACCAATCAATCTCTCATTCTTTCATTCTCTCAATCTCTCTACTCCAAATCTCCAATCAATTTCTCATTCAATTTATATTATAATTTATTATATTATTCAATTTTTTTTCTATTTTTCAATATCATCATAATTTCATATTATTTTTAATTTAATTTAATTTTATTATTTATTATTTTATCATAAATTATAATGTCTTCCCCAAATGAGTTTTACGTTCCATCCACCGAAGAAATTGAAGCCTTCAATCCATTTTCACCATTTCCTCCGGATGCAGCTGTAATTCCACAACCACATTCGGCCAGGACAAGGTGTAGCCAAACACATGTGAGCTGCGTCAACGGGCACGGACATAGACCAACCCCCCCGACCGTCAAAGAGGGTCGTGTCCGATTTCTGCGATACTTCACCAAATCAAAACGGCCAAAGACAATGGGGAGGGGGAAGAATCGTGTGGGATATGTAATTTATGTGGAACCATTATTGGGGCTGAGAAGGGGACTTCGACGATGCGACGACACGTAGAGAAGAAGCATCCCCAATAAATGCATCTTCAAGCGGATCAGGTAACAAATTCAACAACTTAATTTTAATCCACTCCTCAACTCTCTCAACAGGGCAATAATAAACACATGTTGCACGAGGGAAATAGCAAGATATATAGTTGCTACGGACTCTCCCATTGTTTATCTGAAAATCCTTTTTTTGTTAATATGGTTAAACTGCATTTGTCCACATATACCCCTGTTAGTAGAACTACAAGTAGAAGAGATATACTAAACTTTATAACAAATAAATAATAAACTTAAAAACGAATTTCAAAATTTTAAGAATATTCTATTGCACTACATCAGACATATGGGTTTGTAGATCAAAATCGATTTTTTAACTGTACAGTACATTTCTTAGATCATAATTGGGGTTTACAACAAAAATTGATAGGTTTTAAACCATTATATGAAAAACATAGTGCTGAAACTATATTTATTTTACGATTCTTGAAGTTTTGCAAGAATATTTATTAACTGATAGAGTTGTAGCGCTAACGCTTGATAATGCAGCTACTAACACCGCGGCAATATCTTTATTTGAAAAGAAATTGGACGGTGAAGGCAAATTTTATCACCAGAGATGTGATTGTCACATCATCAATTTGATAGTTAAAGCAGGTTTAGATGCTATACATTCAAAGATTGAGAGGGTGCGTAGAGCTATCGATTTATCATCTGCGGTAGCAATAAAGATGGCAAGAGTACATCAAATATTGTAAGCAAGAGGACCCACCGGTTCGACCTTTGAAGTTATGTACGACATGCCTATCCATTGGAACCATGCATAAGAACCTTTTTATAACTCCGGCACTTGCTACAACTTTTTGAAGAATAAAATTAGTAGTTGAACTTCACGAGTAAACTCCACCATAATCTTAGCCTCTTGTCTAAAGGCTGCGGTGGTTCTTCCCTGATGAATCATATATTGCTAAAATAAAACCATTTGCCGACAATAAATAATATTTTATTCTGTAAGCATTATTAATGATGAAATGTATAATATATAATAATTAATTTTTATAAATGTTTTGGAAGGAATATCTTCATATTTATTATAGCATTTATTACTTAGGAATCTTATTAATAAATTAATGCTTATTTGCTTATAGTTAACCATTTTTGTATAGATATTTTACCATACATTAAATAAATGATTTAATGTGGTATTGTACCAATATGGCTTATCATAAATGACTCCACAACCTCTTTTATTTGTTAAAAAAATAATATAATAATTATTATTATTATTAGAAATTTACTTATTACCCTTTTTTAAAGGTTAAATTAAAATAACAAACTTTTAAATGGATTTGTAAGCAAGACCCTCTCATGTAATTTTTTTTGATATTTTATGTAATAAATGTGATGTAAAATATCATATAACCTATATAAAATATCTAAAAGACCCACTCAAGGGAGATCAATCGAAATTATGCTAGAGTTATTCAACTTCCCTCGAGTTTCTCTTGTATTCCGACAATTTTAACATTTTAAATCAATTTATGTACTTCTTAATTCTTATCGGTGTTGAGTTATTAACAATGTATGAACAATTTTTATTCTTTTTCGTATTCTGTTGAGAATATTGGTGAATGTTTAGATAACATATTTCGAAGCTTGATGAAGAATTTATCAAGTCAATAACTCTGTACATCACCTATTTGACCGAGAAAAAATAATTTCTTTGCCTTCAAAAAAGAGGGAAAAAAAAAAAAAAAAAAGAGAGAAAACCTTTATTATTTTTGGAATAATAAATTTTATAATACATTTTAGTTTAATTAATTAATTTATTTACCTAAAGGATCTTGATTTTGACATCAAGTAGGTCCATCATATTTAGAAACTGAATAATAAATGGCCTGTGCAATTTAAGTCAATTTGCACAAATCCGTTGCAAAACAAATTATAGCAACCAGTTTTATGACCTCCATCCACAATTTACATAAATTATTAATTGAATAACAATAAGAAAAATATATCAATTATTTATGAATAAATTGAAAAGCTAATTACTAAGCAGAAAATACAAATAAGGACACAAGTTTATTAAAAGATAAAAAGAGAACACTTAACGATTTAAAACAGTTTAATTTAACGATGTAAATGATAAATGTAAATCTATTTAATTATATAATATAAAAGTCAAGTGAGATATTAGAAAATTTAATAACCTTAGATAGACATATCTCAAAATCAAAAGACACAAGGAAAAATTAAGAACCAAAAAAAAAAAAAAAACATCGTAACAAGAGATAAACGAAAAATCTAAGTCTAACATTCATATTAGCCTAATTTTTTTCTATGTTTTTGGTTAAAAAGAATGAGTTTCTTTTTCTTAATATTTTTGATAATTAGTTTAAAAATAGAAAAAAAAAAAAAATGTGATCGATTTAGGCTCACTACTACTTAATAAATATTTAATTTCCATATTCAAACAAGGAGAATTATAATAAAAAAAAAAATGATCTACTAAGGAGACTTTTGTTAAGGTTTTGTAGTTTTCTCTTGAGAAATTGCTGCTTTTTTTTATAGATTTTCATCGTTTCCAGCCCGTGTTCAATGAGTTAGTAAGTCCACAATGTAATAGATGAATGAATTCGAACACAAGAATTCCGGTAGCCTAATGTCTTGTCATCAACCATAAACCAAGTAATTGTCGATGGAGTTAATTAGTATCTATATAACTCATTTGTTTAATTACTTTCATTTATCTGATGATCTATCTCAACTTGAGAGGAAAAATCGATATTAAAAATAAATCATCTATTTGAGTTCTCTATTGTTCAAAAATGTTTTAAGTTTGTTTACAAAAAGTAGTTTTGTAATATTATTTTTTTATACTTAGGAATCATATAATTTAAAGGTGGAACCATAAATATTATTTCTTATTTATTTTTCAAATGTATATATACATATATTTCCTTAAAAAGAAAATGATAAAATTAATTTAAGGCAAAAATATATATTAAGACAAATCACCTATTAACTATAAAAAGGGACAGGAATTTAATATATATTTTTTTTGCAATAAAAACCCAAACTTATGGGAGCAAATTTTCAGAAAATTGAGTAGGTTTTTAATCCTTTTTTACGACGTCGTTGCTGAGTTATCAGCAGCAATGTTTAGAGACCGAGAAAGCGTAGGATAAGAATGATGCGCAGGATATCCAAAAGGGCTCTCATCACCTCCCTGCGCAAATTAGGGCTACTCCTTGAACAATTCTCAGTTTCAACTTTCAATCAAATGCATCACTGATTTGTTGGTACCTTCCTTTCTCTTTAACTTTCACAATTTTGTTTTTATTTTTTGAATTTCTAAGCTTTAAATGTTATTATTCTGCACCCTAATGAAATGAGACTGAAAAAGAATGGCGATTTAAAAATAAACTCAACACCCAGTTGTGTTTTTGTGTTTCTGGAAACGGGTAGGGTTTAATATTGCAGAATGTGTTGTGAATATGGTGGAAGTTTGGAGTATGTATGTGTCTTGTGATTGTAGTTATATGGTTTGACAGAGAGGACTTGTTTGCAAAGTTTCAATTTTGATGGGTGGTTTGTGTAATGTGGGAATTTATGAATGGTTTGTGATAGTTGAGTAATTTGTTGTAGTTTAGTTCTGTGTGTCGACATAGCTGATAGCTACCACAAGTTTGGAGTTTGATCCATTAGGACCACCTACTTGGTGAAAAATCATATAAATATTTTTGGTTTTCTGGTTCCTTAAGATTAGGATTCGGTGCGGCCAGTTTTGTCTTGAGTTTGACTAAATGGGATTAAGGATTTTGCGGATTCGAAGAAGTAAAAAAGGGCTTATGTGAATGTAGAAAAACTTTGAAATGGCTGTGTTTCTTATAATGCAACTGCAGTTATTGTGGAGATAGTTATGAAATGGTGGATATGGTGATTGATGAGGGTGTTTTGGGAGAGAGTGGAAAATGTATTGGAATTTTGAGATTGAATTGAAGACGATATGAAGCAGTTGTGAAAGAAGATATTCACCAATTATTGGTGGATTTACTCTTGAAAGAATTATAGATAGAAGGAGTTGTAAGTAAATGAAAATTGCATAAATGAATGGTTAGAGGGGGCATGATCCAATAACATGGTCGTATGCAGGACAGCTCAATCCAAATTTCTGTATACAGAGTTAAGATTTATAAAAAGATGAGATTTGAGTAAGTGATCAACCTAAACTCCTTTAGGATTATTTGTTGGAGTTTATTACTTTCAAAGATGTCTATTGTAGAAACCTACTTGAAGAAAGTTTGTTGAACCTATTATGAACTGCTAGGATGTGTACTTTGACCTTCTCTTTGGTAAGTTTTTTATTTCTCTTCCATAATCCATATAATCACTATGAAAGATTAAACTTTATTTTTCTTTAAAACTGTAAATTTAATCTGGTGACTAGGGGGATATCAATTAGTGACATAAATAACCTCGGCAGTGATTTGACCAATTGGCCTCTGTTTACTTCCTCTAAAATATTATCATGCGTATTCAATAAACCTTTTTGGTAAAGTAAAAACTAAGTCGTGACTGTGTTTCGCCTTTGTGGAAGCTTTATATCTTATAAAGGGAAAAACTATTTTGTTTTCTTGTCTACATCATTGTTATTTTTTTCTTCAAGTTTCCAATTTATTGTTCTTCCTTTGTGTGTTTCACCAAAATTTTCATTAAACGCAGAATGAGATCACTCACACTTATGCACACATATTATTCTTTTTCAATGTAATTTTTATTTTTTGGAATTGATTTGAATAATTATTAATTTTAATTATATAATGGACAGAGAGTATTCAGTTAATCTCAAGTGGGTTGACGAGACAATATGATGACTGATGAGGCTGGACACATGTTGGTGGTTTATGATGATCCCTCGGACCAACGATCATTGTCTTTAGATGATACTAGCAGTGCAGAGGAATCACCTGATGAAACCAGACTCTCACTAGAGACCAGCAATGACGTGGTTCCATATATTGGGCAAAGATTTCCTACTCATGATGCAGCATATGAATTCTATAGTGAATTTGCAAAAAGATGTGGTTTTTCCACTAGACGTCATCGCACTGAAGGAAAAGATGGTGTTGGCAAAGGACTAACAAGACGCTACTTTGTCTGCCACCGTGCTGGTAACACACCTATCAAAACCTCAAATGAAAACAAACCTCAACGAAATCGGAAATCCTCCCGGTGTGGATGTCAAGCGTACATGCGTATAAGCAAACTTACAGAATTAGGAGCACCAGAATGGCGTGTCACAGGTTTTGCAAACCACCATAATCATGAACTCTTAGAGCCAAATCAAGTTCGTTTTCTTCCTGCATATCGAACCATATCAGATGCAGACAAGAGCCGAATACTTATGTTTGCTAAAACAGGAATTTCAGTGCAGCAAATGATGAGGCTCATGGAACTTGAGAAATGTGTGGAGCCAGGATATTTGCCATTTACTGAGAAGGATGTGAGGAACTTACTTCAGTCCTTCAGGAAATTAGATCCAGAAGATGAAAGTGTAGATTTATTAAAAATGTGTAGAAACATTAAAGAAAAAGACCCTAACTTCAAATTTGAGTGCACTGTTGATTCTAACAACAGGCTAGAGAACATTGCTTGGTCCTATGCATCATCAATCCAGGCTTACGAGATCTTTGGTGATGCTGTGGTTTTTGATACAACACATCGCTTGACTGCATTGGACATGCCACTTGGGATATGGGTTGGAGTGAACAATTATGGTGTGCCTTGCTTCTTTGGCTGTGCGCTCTTACGTGAGGAAAACCTGAGATCTTTGTCATGGGCACTGAAGGTAATATTCCACCTATGTACATAAATTATTAATTGAATAATAATAAGAAAATATAGTAAATTATTTATGAATCAATTGAAAAGCTAATTAAACTAAAAGAAAATTAAAATAAGAAACAATTTATAATACAATAAGATACAACATTTATTAAAGCGAAAAATAGAACATTTAACGTTTTAAAACTTAATTTAACTATCAAATGATATAAATGTAAATCTATTTATTAATAATATAAATTCAAAGAGATATTAAAAATATTATGTAATCCCATGTCAAGAGGTTTGAAGGGCAAATTATCCCGAAACTGAAAATGAGGATTAGTCTCATACCTTGCAGTGTGGGAGTACTTGTGGTGTCACCCCAAAAAAAAAAAAAAAAAAAAAAAAAAAAAAAGAACGAAATCTAAGTCCTCTTCTAGTATTTTGCCTTTTTTTTTTTTTTTTTTTTTTTTTCTTTTTTCTCCCCGTTTTTGGTGTAAAAAAGGAACCGGTTCTATTTTTAATACTTTGATAATTAGTCTAAAAATATGAGGGAAAAAAAAAGATATAATTGATTTATGCTCACTTCTATATGTAATAAGTATATCACTTACATTAAGGAACGAGAGACAGATAATCTTATGTCTCCTTAATGATATGATCTACTAAGGAGACGTAATAAATCTTACCTCTCATAATAAATTAATTTTCAAATATATTAAAATTAAGAAATTAAATTAGGTGAATGGTTTTGACAAGGATTATTAGATTTTGTAGTTCTTTCTCTTAAGAAACTAGCTACAACACCATTTTTTAGAATATTAGACACTATCATGACAATTATGTTGTCAATCTCGGAGCATCGATTAACAACCACTGTCAAACATTGTAGGTTAACTTTTTTTATAGTTTGTCATATAATAATATATAACTTATTTTTCACCAAAATTGAATCGATTTTTTTTTGCAAGCCACACTTGTACGTGAAAAGAAACACAAAAAAAAAACAATACAAAAAATATAGATGTAGGATTTTAATTTAGTCATTTGAATCACTGTAAAAATCTCTGTTTTTGTCTTTTTGATTCATTCATTGATCCAGTATCGCATTGCAAATTTTATACAAATCCCTTACGAAGCTTTCATCATGGAATTACGTACTTCTAGTTGGTACATATCACGCATCAACAATAATTCCCACTAATGATTATTTCCATACATTGTTATGAAAGACATTTGAAATTTATTATTGTATTAATTATTTGGGAAATTTGCTTATTATAGGAAATACTAGTTTTTTTCTTTTCAACTCCACACTAATTTTTTTTTTTTTTATAGCTTGTAGGTAATGTTGACTTTTTATTGACCTTCTCTTTATTATTTTATTTTGGCCACGTAATTACATTTGAAAAGGGATTATAATCTTTATTACATAATCCCTCATTCATCATCCCTAGATTCTCCTATTTTTCTAATTTAATTTCCATTTGATAGACAACTCTTTTAGGAGTTCTTAGTATCTATATAAATCATTTGTTTAATTACTTTCATTTTCTAATGATCTATCTCAACTTGAAGGAGAATGGTATTGAACATAAAACCATTTATTTGAGTTCTATATTTTTTCAGAATGTTTAATTTGTTTACAAAAAGTAGTTTTGTAATATTATTTTTTAAACATTAGGAATCTAATAATTAAAGGTGGAACCATATGTATTTTTTTCTTTATTATATTTTCTTCAGTAGAATAATAAAATTAATTTAAGGCACATTTAAAATATATTATTAAGACAAATCAACTATTAACTATAGAAAGGGACAAAAATTAATATTTTTGTAATAAAAAAAAACTTATGGCAGCAATTTGTAGAAAAATTGAGTGGTTTTAAATCCTTTACGACGTCGTTCTGAGTATATCAGCAGCAATGTTTAGGACGAGAAGGTAGGAATAGATATGCGCAGGATATAAAAGGGCTCTCTCACCTCCCTGCCAAATAGGCTCTTAACAATTCTCAGTTTCACTTTCAATCAAATGCATCACTGATTTGTTGGTACCTTCCTTTCTCTTTAACTTTCACAATTTTTTTTTTATTTTTTTTTGAATTTCTAGCTTTAAATGTTTATTCTGATATTTATCTTCTTTACAGACCATGAGTGACACCTAGCAGTATATCATGGCTCCCAATCAATGAATGAAGTGGGATCATTTGAACCTGTAAAATTGAGTGTTTCAGTCATGTTACCTCATTCCCTCCGAGGTTGTTCCGAGCAAGTGCAGATCATGGTATAGTCTAATCTCTAACTTATTCACATAATTTGGATCATCTTGAATGTGGAATTGTGTTTCTATGAAACTATTTTATAAAACACAAATGCTTTGGCCAAAGACTTCTTCCACATTCATTGATCCCTTGGAACACTCAAGCTCGTAATATCCGAGCCACCAGATTTCTTATTGAATACGTATCTGACTTCATACATGATTAAATCGTGACTAACAAGTATTACACACTAGATATAAACAATCTAGTGATAATGTACTGAAGTACCACGAGCACCCATGCACAAGATATGATCGTATCTCAAGTCTAAGGATAAAGTGACACCAATGCTCATAACAATGATCATTGACAGAAGATATTATACCCATGTGATCAATTGTCCAGCGATCATGTTTGATGCTTTATTCTCTAATTAATCACTTCATCATTTGTGCCCTTTTGATATGAGTTTCATCCCCCAACCATCAATATCTCATGCTAATCAATTATGGCACATAGTAATGCTGATCTTATAATAATATTGCCCCCGATTATTATCACATCCAATTAGGAACATAGTTAAAAGCGAGTCATACTAGAAGAATTCTGATACTCATATTCTCAAACTCTTTGAAAATATAATTTTTTCTAGCACAAGCCTAGGGACATACGCAACTTAATTAAATATAGATGACACAAAGTAGCGTAGAATAATTGTCATTTTATTAATGATAAAAACATTACAAAGTTTATATATATAAATGTTGCCCTAAACCTTACATCTATCATCAGTTTTAAGGCACATACACTAATAAGTTTTTCAATTTTGCTCATCATATTCCGACAATTTTAACATTTCAAATCAATTTATATACTTCTTATTAGTGTTTAGTTATTAATAATATATGAACAATACCTTATTCTTTTTCATATTCTGTTAGAGAATGTTGGATGAATGTTTAGATATCATATTTCGAAGCTCGAGAAGAACTTATCAAGTCAATAACTCTTATTGATTCCATACTTAATGGTGTACAGCACCAATTTGACTCGAGAAAATAACCATTGATATAATAAATTCCTTGCCTTCAAAAAAGAAGAAAAACAAAAAAGAAAAAGAGGAAAACCTTTAAATTAATATTGGAATAATGAAGCTTATAATAATTATTAGTTAATTAATTTAATTTACCAAGAAGTCTTGATTTTGACATCATAAGTACCTGTATCATATTTAGAAAGAGTAAACGACTTTTTCCCACTCAAATAATAGTTTAATGAAACTTTCTCACCCAAGAACTTTTAAAATATAACTTTACTGCCCAAACATTATATTTTATTAATAATTTCCGTTAAATGTAGTGATATTCATTGTGAAGATGAAAATACCTCCTCCAAAGATCAACTCCCAATCGCCAACCACCACAAATCAAGGTTTCTTGCACCTCAACCCAAATTTCGGTCGATTCCGACGTTGAAAATCAACTCTGTCACAATCGTACAACTCATTGGCATCTCCCATCAAAACCCATTTCATCCCCTCCCACAATCACCCCTTAATCAGTCCAGGCTGTTAGGGCAGCTTCATTCAGGCTTTCCGTCAAACAGTTTGTGTGCAAGCTAGAAATTGGTAGTTGTGAGGGTAGTGGGAATTAGCCGGTGACTGGAAAACACAATCACACCAACAACAACACTACTACAACGATTAAGTCCGACAATAACCTTCAATCAAGCCCATAATCATCAACAAATCATCATTCAACTCAAAAACAAACCCTAGGGAAGGAGGCTTCAATAGGCAGTCATAGGGAAGCAATCAAGGTCGGGAAACTTTGGGGTTTTGATGAGGGTGCAACGATTAGTCGAATAGCGGGGTGGGGGATGATTTCTGGTGGAAAGGGCGGTTGGAAAAAGGCTAGCCCACCCATGCGTGACTCACTCGCGCGACTCCCCTAGTTGTTTGTTAGAGTTGAAGTTTTAGTTGATTTGCGTTTGTTGTTTGGAGTTTTGGTTGATTTGGATTTGTTGTTTGGAGTTTTGGTTGATTTGGGATTTTAAATTGACCATCATGCCCTTATTTATAACGGACTTTTGATAATCTTGCTATTATTCACAATAAAATTTACTAACAGAACTATGCTTTGGATAGTAAAATTGTATTTTGAAAGTTCTTGGGTGGGAAAGTGTCGTTAGGCTATTATTTGGGTTGAAAAACGTCATTTAATCTATGAGTAATACTATTTAATCTATTTAGAAATTAGAATAAGTAAATTGCCTGGTGCAATTTCAGAGTCAATTTGCACAAATCCTTGGCAAAACAAATTATAGCAACGAGTTTTATGACCTCCATCCACCTATTTACATAAATTATTAATTGAATAATAACTAAGAAAAAGTATATAAATTATTTATGAATAAATTGAAAAGCTAATTAAACTAAAGAGAAAATTAAAATAAGAACACATGTTATAAATACAATTAAAGATGGACACAAATTTATTAAATGATAAAAATAAGAAATTTAATGGTTTAAAACAGTTTAATTTAACTTTATAAATGATATAAATGTAAATCTATTTGATTNCTCGCGTAGGATAACCTTTAGTGCTTTGACTTTACATTTTACTGACGTAGCTTACAAAAAGCAGGTGGCTGTTGCTGTTGATTTTAAAGATCAAGCTGCAGAACAACAGACAATGCAGCAGAATCTCCAAAACATTTGCATGAAGACTGGAGCTCCTATGGAATCCCATGCAGCTTCTGTCCTCACTCCTTTTGCCTTCTCGAAGCTGCAAGAGCAATTTGTTTTGGCTGCTCATTATGCATCATTTCATATGGACGATGGTTTCCTTGTGAGACACCACACAAAACTTGAGGGAGGCCGGAAAGTGTATTGGGTTCCTCAAGAAGGCATCATAAGTTGCAGCTGTCATCAATTTGAATTTTCTGGAATTCTCTGTCGACATGCCCTTAGAGTCCTCTCAACAGGAAATTGCTTTCAGATTCCAGAAAGGTATCTTCCCATCCGTTGGCGTCGGATCAGCACACATTCTATAAAGCAACTTCAAAGTTCTCCAAGCGAGCATGCAGAGCGGGTTCAGTTACTTCAGAGCATGGTATCATCTCTGATTGCAGAATCTGCTAAGTCAAAGGAGAGGCTAGATCTTGCAACCGAACAAGTTTCCTTCCTCTTGTCTCGCATAAGACAGCAACCAGTTTCATCACAAGGTTTGAGAGATATTTCTCCCCTTCATAGGAATCTATAACTCTAGACATACCTTAAAACAGTAGCTTTAGCATCATCTCAGTTCTTGTGGAAAGCAGAAGGAAACACATCAGAAATTTGACAATGGAAGGAAGTTGGGTGCATTTGATTTGGTTTCAAATTCACTTTTATGCAGGCTTGGACTGGACCGAGTTTTGGGCTTGAAGACATTTGCATGTCGGTTTTTGTAGCTTTGTTATATGAAATCGGAAACTAATTAGTCTAATCGTACGTGGTGTAGTATTCCTAGATGTCGTGTTACATGTTCGTATTTTGGAGGTGTTTCATGAGGATTCTGATATGTACAAATATATACAGAACCAAACCTTCTTTTGTATGTATATCAATGTGGTCACGTTATATGAAATATTGATCTTTTTATTAGAGGTAGATACATACAAGATGTATTTCCTAAATGTTCCGTGCTCAGAAGCAGCCTGCTTATGGATTGAATTGAAGTTGGAGTTGTTACTTCTAAATTACCAATGTGCATGTAGGGGAAATTTTTCATCAACCTCTCTTGAAATTTGATTTAATTACGAGCAATGGTTATTTTTTGTGCACGTGTTATACATGCATGAATAATGAGATATGTGCATTTTTAACTGTTATGCATTTTTCGAGATCTCTGCAAAGTTATATTTTTAAGTTTTGAGTAAAAGTAATCATTTCAAATGTAAATTATCCAAAAATTTCNTGGGTTGTTGGCATCAATCTTGTGTTCATGAAATATTGCCACACACGAGTGTCCATGCGAAGATTTCTTGTGGAAAATGTCTTATATCGATCACCCACCATGACCCATTGTGCTTGTTCCTTTGTCAATCTCCTAATCACCGTGTCATAATCGACATTTTTCAAGTACTCATTGTATCTGTCCTCTTCCACTGGCATGTAATACTTTCCTTCTAGCTAGTATACTCGTAAAATAATCAATAAAACTCATTAAAAATATGTATAAGAAAATACACATATAAACAAGTAATAAAGTATAAGCCCGTATTTAATTTTTCTTTATATACAAATATACTCAAAATATACTCAAAATGGCATCTTGATAGTGTAGCCCAATCCCTTCCATTGCGTGACATTCCGAGTGACCATAACTCACCTATTACCTACAAAAACATTGAAAACAACGGAGTGAGCACTAATTACTCAGTAAGTAAACCTGCTATGCTACCCTTCTCTCTCTGTTACTTAAATCTTGAATATTCTTTCCTTACCACTCATTTCCCGAGTATTCTCTATTCTTTCTCTGTTATTCTCTCTGTTCTTTCTCTATTCTTGCTCTATTCTTTCTCATTCTTTCTCTGTTTTGCTCACTATTTTTCTCTCAATTTTCTAATTTCTCACTACTCATAATAATGAGCATGGTTTTATGCATATACATGATGCAAATCCACAAATGCATAGATTATGCATTTTCTTTTCTATTTTTCTTATTCTGTTTTTCTTTCTTTTTCTTTCTTTCTTTCTTTCTTTTCTAGTCTTTTTTTCTATTCTTTCTTTTCTTTCTTTCTTTCTTTCTATTCTTTCTTTCTTTTCTATTTTTTTCTTTCTTTTCTTTTCTATTCTTTCTTTCTTTCTTTCTATTTTTTCCGATCGGACTTGGTTGAGGCATGGATTTAGAGTCTTGGCTGTGTGAGTGAATTCTTTAATTCTGGGTACAGTCCTCATCACACGCACTTCTAACGGACTGTACAATTCTTCTTTCTGAATTCTGAGGCCGCTTACTAATGGCGGCGTGCATGTGGGACTATGTCACTCACGGTTCCCCATCGCAACAACCTTCTCTTCTTTTTATCTTTTTACACTTCTTTAACTAAAATTTCATATTTGAATATCTTTAATATTCTCATTTCTTTCCATTTTATCTTTAACATATTTTAGGGCTTTTTCATGCTTTTATGAATATGTATGCATGTAGATGGTTTCATGCTTATAATTCTTTCTAAATGCAAATGTTTAAATGCAAGAATGCTATGTAGCATCAAAATAAGTTTCTCTCAATCATCTACAAACTCATATCAATTCATAAATGAATAAAACTCATGCATACACTTCTCTTTGGCATTTCATCAAACAATTCATGTGCACAAATCAATACTAATTTGGATACACTTCTATCTCTATTTTAGGCCACCAAAAATTTGGAATAAACTCCTCCATAATTAACACCAAATCTGCCCAAAATACACACTTCAAAATTTTCACTTCAATTCTTCCAAATCTCATTCAAACATTCATCAAATAACAACTACACCAACACAACTTCTCATGGATAGGTTCTAATCATTATTCAACACCAAATCCATCAACAATTCTACATATAACACATATATATGCATAAAGAAATTTTTCTACACAACATAACTTAAATCATACTTAGGGTAGGATTTACTTACCTTGTGCTTGAGTAATTCCACTAGAATCTTTCTTTCTTTGGTAGACTTGTTCTTTCTCTAAAACCCTAAGCATAAACACTATAAGAATTCAACACTTTAAAAATTAATCTCACATCTATTGTAAGAATTATTACCTTTGGGTGCTTAGGATCAAGTCTCTACCAAAATCCAACTAAAGCCCTCTAAAATCCCTTGGAAATTTGATGAAGAGATGAGAGAAATTGAGAGTGAAGTGGCGTGAGAAGGAGTAGAGAATGGTAGGGTCTTTTTGCTTGAACTCTTAATATCTCATATTAATATGCATACTTTCCCATTTTGCCCTTGCACTTTATTTAAAGTTCCATCTATGTCCCTTAGTCAATTACCATAATGCCCTCATTTTTTGCATTCTCCATGAAATTCTATCTCTTTTCACTCCCCACTTTTTCAACTAATTTTGAGTGAAAAGACCATTTTACCCTTAATGCAAGTTTAAGGCATTTTCTTCACATTTTCTCAAAATAACTTTAGCAAAAATCAACTAAAGGTATAATAGCATAAATTAAATTACGTACCTCCATGTGGGCGTTACATGGCAGCAATTCATAATATTTGTTAATTGTCTCAACATCAAATTTTACCTCCTTTCCTCGAACTCTCGTTTTCCCCATTGGCACTTTTAGGTAAGTTGGCATTTAGTCATTCAACAATTGGAGCAATTGTTGATGGGGGAGTTTGAGTGAATTTATGTCAACCCAATTTCCTTATTATGTCAGTTATGTCTTCTACATATTATCCTCAAAATCTATGCCTCTTTCTTGTATGAAACCCCTCTCTTTTTGGTGAGCATCTTTAAACCTTTCCTTAGCTTTTACACTCACAAATTTAGGATCATTAGCTTGACTACCCTTCCCACCTCTCTCTTTTCGTTTGGGAGCTATTTTTTTAGCCATAATTTTTTTTTCTTTTTTCTTTCAAACAAACGAACTCCATAACTCCAATAGCAAACAACCACCCAACTCTTCAAATAGGATTGAACTTATCTCCTTTAAACACCAATTTTTCTCAACAATCCAATTCCAATAAAAAATTGACAACAACATCTAATCAACAACACAAACTAACAACAATGTATGTTCTATAATTCGNAATGAATTATTATTATTAATTGAATGTTAATATATTATTATATATTAATTGATTTCAATTATAATAATAATTAATTAATTTAAATACCATAAAGGGTGTGTTTGGTTGCAAGGGTGAACTAGGGTTGGAGCCCATGGCTATTCCTAAGTAGAATAGGGTTTTAATTGTTGCACTATATAAGTGCAACTTAAAATTAAAACAAAGGAGAATTATTCATTCAATTAAAAACCCTGGCCACCCTATCTCTCTCTCTCTCAAGAAGAAAACTTTTCTTGTTCTTCTTTCTTGATTCTTGAAGCCCTTGATTGTTCTAGCAAGATAATCAAGGGTTCTTCTGCGGATTATCTTTGTGTGGACTTCTGTGAGTGTGATCCTGCTTTGGATCAATTGATGAAAAATCATGTGAACAGTGTTCCTGTCCAAAATCAGAGATATTCGAAGGAGCCTCCAAACATACGTAAGTATTCTAATCCTTGAATGGATTTACTTTATACAAATTTTTGTTTATAAACATGTAAACGGTATAATCCATACTTGGATCGAGGCAAAGAAAGGTAATTGATTTACCTATTGAATTTTTGTTTTCCGATGCGTATGGTAGATCAATTACTTATACAATTTGCAAAGGTCCATCTACAGACTCAAGCAAGCTTAAAGGAGATGAAACATTCGTTTCGATGAAGCCATAAAAGAATTCAGTTTTATCAAGAACGAAGATAAGGCCTGTGTTTACAAGAAAGTAAGTGGGAGCGCAGTGGCATTCCTAGTGTTATATGTCAATGGCATACTTCTAATCGGGAATGATATATCGAACTTGCAGTCGGTAAAGACTTGGTTATCCAAGTGCTTCTCCATGAAGGACTTTGGAGAAACAGCCTACATTCTTGAAATAAAGATCTATCATCATATATCGGGTAGGTTGCTTAGCCTAAGTCAGAGTACATAGACAAGGTACTAAAAAGATTCAGTATGGAAGAATCTAAGAAGGGGATTTCTTCTTATGGCACATGGTATCTATCTCTCTAAGGGTATGTATCCTAAACCACACGATGAGGGAGATAGAATGAAGAGGATCCCACATGCTTCAACAAGTGGATCCACCTTGTATGCTCAGATTGATATCTAATGTGCATTAAGCACTTGTAGTGGATATCAATCAAATCCAAATGAGCAATGCCATGTTGTATGCTTAGACTGATGTCTCATGTGCATTAAGCACTTGTAGTGGATATCAGTCGAATCCAACTGAGCGATACCATGCTGTATGCTTAGACTGATATCTCATGTGCTTTAAACACTTGCAGAAGATATTAATCGGATCCAAGAGAGCAATGTGATGATATGTACTCAGATTGATGTCTTTTGTGCATTCAGCACTTGTAGAAGACATCAATCAAATCCAAGTGAGTGACACTCGATGAGTGTCAATGAATATCTTTAAATACCTAAAAAGGACTAAGGTCACTATAAGAAGATGCAATGATGGTATTTTCCAAATATAGAGATGATTTTTGCTTGAAATTTTGTCTCAGTAGAGCTATAGTGAGCTCGAAGAGCTCGAATTAGAGTACTGCAGCGGATTCTACAACTGATGCTAAGTATATCGCATTATTTAATGTAGCCGTGTAGGCAGTTTGGATCAAGAAGTTCATTACTGAACTGGATGTGGTTCCAAGCATTACTAGTCCAGTAAAGTTCTACTGCGATAATAATGGAGCCATTGTTGTGGCTGAGGAATCAAGGTCTCACCAGTAATCCAAACACTTAGTTGATTCAATCTGATCTGAGAGGTCGATTAGAAAGGGAATGTGTAGATTTGCAGAATATGTAC